TATCCATATATCCATCCATCCATCCATCCCTCTCTCATCCATATATCCATCCATCCCTCTCTCATCCATATATCCATCCATCCCTCTCTCATCCATATATCCATCCATCCATCCCTCTCTCATCCATATATCCATCCATCCCTCCCTCCATATATCCCTCCATCCCTCCATATATCCATCCATCCCTCACTCCCTCCCTCCATATATCCATACATCCATCCATCCCTCCCTCCATTCATATATCCATCGATCCATCTCTCCCTCCCTCCATCCATCCATCCATCCATCCATCCATCCATCCGTCCATCCATCCATCCATGCCTCTCCCATAACCACTTCATCCAGTACTGGGTGCAGTTACAGGACTTTGAGGCCAATTTGTTGAACTACTGAGCTTCAAAAACCCAGAGGAGAGTGTATTACTTAGTGCTGGTTCCTCTATCTCTGCAGGCAACAGGAGTCCTCACACCGATTCTCCCATGGATTACTTCGCCACTGAGCCGGAAGACATAGGCCAGTACATAGTGACCTTAATGGAGCCTCTTGAGGAGATCAGCCTAGGTCAAGGGACAGAACAACAAGAGAGAGAGGCCCAGGGTGCACTGGAGTCGTTCTCAGTACATGGCAGTAGGCAGGAACCCCCCACTACCATGGCCTCCAGCGGTAATCTGCCCTCCTTTGGTGATTCTCAGTCCCAAGTCACCCCATTATCCAATCCCCAGAGTTTACAACCCACCAGTGACATCTGGGTTCCTGTACAGGAGACTAAGATCCACATACAGCACCAGCTCCCACAGGAAGTTCACTTGGCCTCTCAGGAGTCAGTCCTTGCCTCTGGAACACCAGGAGACAATCCCAAGCATTATCAGCCCACGCCCGTCACGAACCCAGAAGCCGATAACTTTTCTGAAGAAAATCACAGGCTTGATAAAAGCACACCGACCATCGCCCTGGAGGTCCCAGTGCCCACCTCAATGACTGAATATTCAGGAGACTCTACGCATGATCAAGGCACGCCTGAGACAAATGCAGAACCCGATCACGCTTTTGTGACCCCTGATAACACAATCATTAAGCTAGAAGAAGACACAGAGGGGCCCACAGCAAATTCCCCCGTTCCCACAACAAACGCTGGAGCATCAGGGAGCGAAACCACCTTCCTTGCTAGCATCCCAGATGTACATTCAGAAAGTAGAGCACCCACCTCTTTGTATAGCCCCTCAGAGAGCTCTCCGCAGGAGACCACCACTGCATCAGGCTACCTATCAGCCTCATTTGCAGTCACAAATACACAAGAGTTGGAGGAGATGGTAGCAGGAGGAACTGAGGGAACGTCTACCGCTCTTGTTTCCCAAGGTAAGGACCAAGTTGGCTGCACCAAGATTATTCTGTTTTCATCTAATAGAGGCTTGTTTGGAGAGGCCAGAGGAACATGGGCAATAACACTGATCTATCTATCTGTCTGTCTGTCTGTCTGTCTGTCTCTGTCCGTCCGTCCGTCTATGCATGTTTTCCTACTCGGCAACTAGGAATTCTTCAATATTCTAACCCATCATTCTTTCAACACAGCAGGTCACCTGACTGAAGGCCATGCTGCAGATGAGAGGCCCGAGGAGGTCGGATCTGGTGATGTAATCGGGCCAGACGGAATTGCAGCTTCCCTGTTCACCTCCCCTACCCCTGTCAGTGTGTCCCATCTCACCTCCCAAAGTGTACCAGGACCCAGTGAGCCTGGTGAACTCGAGGCCCATAGCCCAGAGACCATTGTCCCACCTGGGTATGGGCACCAAGATGACCTAAAGAAGCATGCCATGGAGCCCACAGTGGCAGTGCAAGAGTCTCCAGAGGGCAGTGTTGCGCAGGAGTCTCCAGATGGCAGTGTTGTGCAGGAGTTTCCAGAGGGCAGTGTTGCGCAGGAGTCTCCAGAGGGCAGTGTTGCGCAGGAGTCTCCAGGGGGCAGTGTTGTGCAGGAGTTTCCAGAGGGCAGTGTTGCGCAGGAGTCTCCAGAGGGCAGTGTTGCGCAGGAGTCTCCAGGGGGCAGTGTTGCGCAGGAGTCTCCAGAGGGCAATGTTGCGCAGGAGTCTCCAGGGGGCAGTGTTGTGCAGGAGTCTCCAGAGGGTAGTGTTGCGCAGGAGTCTCCAGGGGGCAGTGTTGAGCACGAGTTAGTTGGTGAAGAGCTGGAGTCTACGAGCCAACCTAATCAGTTCGATGGCAGCACCACACATTCAGGGGAATCCACAGAGGCACATTCAGACTCTGGTGAAGGCCCTATCAATACTGAATCTCTACATCTGTTCACAATGCCAACATCGCTCACTGATTCTGAAGAGGAAACCAACAAAACGACCAACAGCTTGGATGCAGAATCCCCTTCCTCTGACCACGAGGAGGAAGAGGGACATCAGTTGCTTACTGAAGCTCCATTCCAAGATGTTGTGGTGACATTGCTACCTAAAGAAGCACAAACACTCAGCTGGGACATGCAGCCATCCACTGCCACGCCACAGGAGTCACATGCCGATGTGGAATACAGCGGTGATCATCTGGCCAGCAGGCTGGATCTGCTCCCAGAGAAACCCAGCCTTTTGACTGAGATTGAGCCGGTCACCAACATGAGTAACCCCGCTTCCGCTACGGCCAGTTCTACGGAATGGCACTTCGAGCCCCCAGGCCAATCCACTACCCATCTACCCCAAGGATCCATTAACCAAGAAGAGCATCTATTGGAGGACCTGGTCAATATGTCTGCCCCCCCGCTCATAATGGACACGCACAAGACTGAAATTGAGTTTACAGCCACCCGAGTTCCCACCTTGGGGAGCCTGCCCAATGAAAAGTCCATGGTGGGGCGGGCCAAGAATGTCTCAGGTAACGTCTACACTACTCTAACCACCCTAACCACCCTCCTTCTACTTCTCAACTTGACGACGCACTAAATTCCAATCCCCGAACCACCTTCCTCCATCCACTAGCACACCGTTCCTCTCCAAACTTGCTTACACCACCCTTCCTCCACCCGATTCCTTTGTCTGTCTCAACAACAACACTACAACACCCCCCCAACCCCCGTCATGTGTGATCCCACTTGAACTGGGCACTGGCAAATGGGACGACTCCACATTAAGTGTTTGTCAGACAAATTGATTTTTTTGCTGCGTATGACATTGTCATTTTGTTAGAAGGCGCAACTTCTGTGAAGTACATACTCCTTTTTTGGACCCATGGTTTCTGTGGAAAAAAATAAGTTTTTTTTCTTTCTTCCCCACTTTTTCAGTGAGAAAGAAGTCCTCTCTGCCTTTGCATGTCTGTGTAGATCTCTGTTTCCTTTTAGTTGATGTGTGGTTCCAGTCACCTGAAATTACGGTAAATTGACAGAAGGGGGCAGTACTACTTTAGGCAGCATGAGCAAAACTAGGAAACCAGAAATGCCATTGTGATCGATCCAAAGATGCAGACCACAACCTTCTTCAGAGTATCACGCAATAACAGCTGAGCAAATCTTAAGCGATTATGTGGGTTCCTCCCGCACGTGAAGCTGCTCTCCTCACCTGAAGTGACCCAATGTTTCACATCAATTCAAGCATAACTCAGAAAACCAATGGGAATTGTTGATTCTGCAGAGGGGCTCAGAATGTAGCTGTTTGTCCCAGGGTGGTAGAGGTTGCTTAGAAAGCAGCATATATCTGCGACATTGTGTAATGACATTGGGTGACAGTGATGGATTCATGCTTCACCACCTTTCTCATTTTGCAAATAACATCACTGAACCGCATTACAAGCCAAACTAAAATAGTGGTCTTCACACACGCAGGTAATTCCCAAAGCTGGGATGGGTCTTGGTTTTCCATAACCAGTGTAAACAAGTTTTATTTTTAGTGCTGTAGACCATAAGAGTGTTTATTTTTTTTTCTTTTTACTGCCAAGAGAAGAGCGGGTACACCCATTTCAGTTCAATATTGAGGACCTGTGGCATTTTTTAAAATCGTGTGCTCAGCGTTGATTTCCTGTGTCATTCTGGGAACTGTTCCTTACCCTTCCACTGCGATGAACACTGGGAGAGACCTGCTGTCTCTGTAGCGGGAGAGCGATTCTTTGTACTGAAAAGAAATGGTTGGTTGTGTACCTGCACAATTTCTCGCCTTTGGAAGGAGCGATGACTCTGTCAGGGTAATTGTTATATCCCACTGACAGTAAAACTGAATAAAACTTGGAAAAAAATATTCAACTGCAAACTTGCTTATTGTTGCAAATTTAATTTATTTTGCGCGAACATGCATAAAAGTACTAGAAAAAAATATATAAAAAACAGTGGTTTATGACAATTGTCTTGTTAAGGCAAATATTTTAATGAAGCTAGAATTTTATAACCTATAGTATCCTTTTTTGTACAGCTCCGGTGTAAAACTGGTTTGATGCTCTTATAAAAAGATAGGTGTACTTTCAGAGGAAAACCTAATTATTAAAAGTGAAAATGTAACTCTAACTTCATTTGTAGATGCCTTTTTCTACCCTTCTTTCCTGAAATCTCTGTGCACTTGTTTTGTGAGTTCAAGATGAGAAAGCGATGCGCAATCAAAGAGCTCCCTCTTCTGGGCCAAGCATCTACACTCATCCAAAAAAATAGCACTGCATGATTAAGGATAAGGACAATAGTAATCAAATAATCTAGTAAGTGTAAGGTTTTGGTAAAAACATGACTCATTTTTGACAGATAATAGGATTTTCCTTTGCTAAAGTGAAGCTTTGAGGGCAATTTACTATTTGGTGGTTACATTCAAACTTATTTGTTTCTTCAAACATTAGCTTTCACTTTTTGAAAAAACTGAAACTCCAAACTAATTCAAAGGACATCAAGGTAAAAGTACAGGTGGAACACCCTGAGATTCTAAGAGAGTCACACGATGGAACGACACCGAAGAGCAAACGGCATTACCAGATATGACAGTGTGGGAACAAATTTGTGGAACGTAGGTTGGTGAGCTGTTAACTCACATGGTTAGAAGTCCAGGTGTCGCACACCTTCACGGGTACTCTGAAGCTAGTAAGTATCCCAGATCACACACCTCATTTGTCTTATTTAGTACCGATTGTATTTAGTGGGGTACTATCAATGTGTCAAGAGATTTGTGAATTTATGAACCACTTTTGAACAGTGAGTACAGCTAATGCTTAATGTACCATATCTCAGAGCATGGCATGTACTCCATCAAAGAACAGCAGAAAGCGGCTCACACCAGCACTGGAAGGTGAAACGAGATCCACTGTCGTTGCGTCCTCTGTTACTACGAATCAGTGAGACTAGAGTTTTCACCAAAGTGTCGATGTGTCACTTTTCCCGTCGCTCAACATCGTGTCGCGGAAAAAAAAACCAGGATAACATCATCGGCGAAGCAGCAGAACCAATACATGCGACCCTGCGGTTTGTGAGTCTGCTGGAGATGCAGGACTGGCTTGGCCTTGCCGGCATTGTCCTCCTCTCACTGTGTTTCAGACCCCTGCCTGGACAGCCCCTGTGCCAATGGGGGCACCTGCATAGAGGAGAAGGGGTCCGTCAAGTGCCTCTGTCTGCCCACCTACGGGGGAGAGCTTTGCCAGACGGGTAAGAGTGCAGCCTCTCACTGTGACACACACACGCACACAGACACACACACACACACACACAGACACGAAGGAGATGAAATGAATGCAAACTAAGTGAAATGGATGGACCGTGTCGGCATTCTGCGGGAAAGCGCTTAGATCATGAAACTGCACCTTCCTCCGCTCTGTGAGTAACTCTCACACTGGGGGGGGGGGGGGGGGGCGCTAAAGCGTGACGTCGACACCACCGGAACGCAGACAGGTGCCAGAAATGCTGCAAAAGCACTGTGGCTGCAAACTGTAAAAAAAATCAAATGGTTTGCGGGGCATTTGGTAAGCGGATATAAAGGAGCGTAAAGCGAAACTCTGCATGAAACTGCAGCCCTTTGGAATTGGGTTTATAAGTAAAGATCCTTTTAAAGGCCATTTTTATACCATTGCTCAAACAGTCCTACATTAGGACCAAGGAACCAAAAATAAGTATCTAGAGCTTTTACATTATGGGTTTTTTTATAGTAAATGTTAGGGTATAAAACTGTGTAACATCTGAGGCACAATTTAGTGTTTTCCTCCTAGAATCCTAACTTCTATCCCTTTTCACTCTGGAGAAAAACAAGCTTTTCTACTTAATTAAATTACTCAGTAGGCTTTTTGGTTTCTTTCACAGAAACTAAATGAGATGAGACAAAAACGAAGAGGCGAGTGTTCAGGGGGATGTTGTAGCGAATGGAGTGGTGCAATAAAACCAATCCGTCAGCTGGGATGGGAGACAGCGAGTTCTGCGTGCCCTGCGTTGTTAAACTCGGGGAAAATGGACATCAACCTTTACGTTTGCTCACACTAAAATGAAACCTTTTTGGGGAGGGGGCAATTATTCCAGGTGCCATCAGCTTCCTTCCTGTCAAGATTAGTGTTTGTCAGCGTGATTGCATGACGCCTCTGGCACAAAGCGCAACGGCGTCGGGGGGCAGCCGGCAGGGCGCGCAAGGCATGCTGGGAGACCTCTTACGCCCTCAGCACCTCTGGGGGGTTCTGACGTCGCCGTTTTTAGCGCTGAATGAGGCGCAGCTGCGGCTCCGGCTCCTCAGCCAGTTTCCCTGCCTCAAGTGTTTCCTTAACTAACCTCCTTGTTCTTAAGGCCTCTTTTTTGTATCTGTGTAGGAAAAGCAAATGTTTTATTGGCTGGTGGAGAACATGCTAAAGCTGTAGCAGGGGGCGTCAGAATGGCACAGATACGCTGAGAGATTCAGGGGCCCAGCGCTCGACAGGGGCCCTTGGAAACTTAAAGGGGCAGTTCACCCAAAAACTGGAAAAAAATGTTTTAGATGGGCTTTAGATCTATCTATCTATAGATCTATCTATCTATCTATCTATCTATCTATCTATCTATCTATCTACTGTATCTGTCTGTCTGTCTGGCTGGCTGGCTATCTATGTGGTTCTCCTGGGAGTTGCTTGCTTTTGGAGATATCAGCCATAGAAATGTCAGTCTTCTCGAATATAATGGGACTGAATGGCGTTCTTTCAGTTGTGATTAAAGCACCAAAAAATACGTTCGAAAAATTCAACAGCAATGTCTCATCAGAAGTGCTGACCCAGTCAACCAAGGTAACCCACAGACTTTGTATCGAGCAGGAGGACCTACAAACCCTAGAAACCATTTTCTTCTACCAAACTCCACACACCAATCATATCACTGCGCAGAAGATACAAGCACGAGCATGAGCATGCCTGGCCCCTTTAAAATCAGGTGGGGAGGCTTAGGGTGATATTTCATCAGGGAGCCCAGAATATCTAGGTGCCCAAAAAATCACTATACACATCCATCCATCCTCCCATCTACAAATCACTCTTCCTGATGAAGGTTGTGGTTATGCTCAACATGCCGTACCCAAAGTTCAGCACCTATATATCCTGTTAATCTCTCCTGAAGGGAAGTACTTGTTTCACCTCTCTTTCCATACCCCCGGCCCATCATTATGTGCCCCCCCAAACCCCCTACCCGTTGATTGCTGATGGTCTGTCTTGCTCCACACTAGATATGGACCCGTTAGTTGCTGATGGTCTGTCTTGCTCCTTGCCAGATATGGACCCGTTAGTTGCTGATGGTCTGTCTTGCTCCTCGCCAGATATGGAGCGCTGTCAGGCCGGCTGGGACAAGTTCCAGGGCTTCTGCTACAAGCACTTCTCGGGCAGGCAGAGCTGGGAGGCGGCGGAGCAGCAGTGTCGCCTTTTCGGCGCCCATCTGGTCTCCATCCTGACACCCGAGGAGCAGGACTTCATTAACGGTGCCCGGGTGACCCTTCGCCGCGCCCAACTCCATGCCCGTCAGAAAAACATGGCAGGCGGCAGGACCGCTGCCCGCTTTGACTCCTTGCTGCATCGTCGCGGTTCAGCACCGCCATGTTGGATGAACGGTTTGCTTGGGGGAGACAGGCAGGCTAACATGTCTACAACAAGTTGATTCGGGGCAAAAATAGGGGGGCGGGGCCACAGTTGATTGGCCCCCAGAGTACCCCCTCCTCTGTCCCTTAACGTTTCAAAACATGTCAGTCACTAATGATGAGGTTGGCCCATCTGTATGTATTTTGAATCCTCTTATGCCCCCCCGTTAAAAAATCCTAGAATCACCCCTAGGTTGGCTAGAATAGATTAACTAAAACTACTTTCTCAGGGACTTCCTGGAAGTTCAGTGGTAACTGGCTTGGCCCACTATGTAAGAGATATTGGTGCCTCAGCCAAGACCAATCGACTTATATTCCAAAATTTGGTAGGCAGGGGCCTTTGCAATTGTCTTAACTTTCCCCTCATTTATGGTGCCCTCCCCCCACCTCCTCCCACCCCAGTTGACTTTGAAGAAAGTAGTTGGGGGAGCCTCTAGCAACTATCTAGCAAATATCCCAACATATTCCAGGGGCCTCTGACCCTTGTTGATGTGCCCTCTCTAATGCCTGATACTGCGTGTAAGAACCAGCTGCTGATTTACACCGTAGAACTACACAGATTCCATTAATGATTGTTGAAACTCCCTTTATTTTCCTCAGATAATTACAAGGAGTACCAGTGGACTGGACTGAATGACAAAACCATTGAGGGGGACTTCCGCTGGTCTGACAGCAACCCACTGGTGAGCGTCTCTTGTGAGCGCCAGTGAGAAGCAATGCAGCTCTAAAACACCGCTTCTTTCGATTCAGATCACTACCATGTTACTTAACCCATCTTCAGTTGTAAAAGAAAAGTGTTTCATAGACTCAAAGCTTTCAATGCTTTCTGAATTCTATACTATCTGTGTCCCATACTCACTGCATCCCATACTCTCTGCTTCACATATTCTAAGTTTCCAATACTTTCTGCTTCCCATATACACTGCGTCCCATACTCACTGCTTCCCATACTCACTGCATCCCATATTCTCTGTGTCTCATACTTTCTGCTTTCCATATTCTAAGCTCCTCAAGCTTTCTTTCTCTCTGCCTCCCATACTCCAAGTTTCCAATATTTTCTTCTTCCCAAACTCTGCTTCCCATACCGTAAATTTCCCATATACACTGTGTCCCATACTCCCTACGTCCCATACTCTCTGCTTTCCATGCACAGTGTCCCATACTCACTGCTTCCCATACTCTCTGCATCCCGTACTCTCTGCTTTCCATATACACTACGTCCCATACTCACTGCTTCCCATACTCACTGCATCCTATACTCTCTGTGTCCCATACTTTGTGCTTTCCATATTCTAAGCTTCCCATGCTCTCTTCCTCTCTGCCTCCCATACTCCGTAGCTGTAAACGAAGTAATGCAGTTCTACCCCCCCACCCTTCTAGCTCTATGAGAACTGGTACAAAGGTCAGCCCGACAGCTACTTCCTGTCTGGGGAGGACTGTGTGGTGATGGTGTGGCATGATGGGGGGCGCTGGAGCGATGTTCCCTGCAACTACCATCTGTCCTACACCTGCAAGAGGGGTACCTGTGAGTATCCTTTATGCCTCTACTCTGTATTGAATTACTTTTACCTTGCTCACTATACTATACTCTACTATACTAACCCATACTGTAGCATCGTTTCAGTTTAGTGGAGGTTTCAGCTCATTTAAACACTAAAAGTGCTTATGGTCCGCCGATATTCCTCCACGTTGCTTATTAGCCTCCTGCGGTCAGCCACCAACCGTCCGCAATGCCAGGGTGTTTACCAAGCTGCGCAGCCGCTATGAGACCAACTCGGCCGTCCGCTACTACTGCGTGGAAGGCTTCCTGCAGAGGCACAATCCCGTGGTCAGGTGTCTGCCCAGCGGCAAGTGGGAGGAGCCTCGAATTGTTTGTATCGCTGGTGAGAGACTTTAGTAATGAATGCTATAAAAAGCAGAGGGAACGGCGACCTTTGTCGTTTGTACTTTCTTTTGTGAATTAATCAGGGCTCTCAAGCCTCACGCATTGACCGCGAAACACACGCATTTCAACCAGTTCACATGCTCACAAGCCACAGCTTGTGTTTCTCACGCTGATAGGGCCCACCAGGGTGTTCTGTTATTCAGAATTAACAGACGATGCGCAGGCATGTGCAGTGCAGAATTCCGCCAAGTTCATAGCTGTCCCGAGTCAGACAGAGTTAATAGCCAATCAGAAAATAGCATTTGATGTTTCCGGGTAAAATTCCAAAACAAGATACATGCAAGCACGTTATTACATGGATGCACTTGTATACGGAGTGCAGGCAAGGTGGAAGCGGAAGAGCAAGATCTGATGAATCTGGTATGTAGGGCTCTCAAGTATCACGTATTGACCGCCACTACAGATGTAAACTCACTCCAAACTCTTGATGAAACTTGAGACCCCTGCATAATTGTGGGCAATTCCATGCGAAGGCCTGTTTGATGTCACATCCATAATCATGGTAAAATGCTGTGTATTTCTAACGTTGAAATAACTATATGACTTTTGAGGATTTGTCTATATTCAACCCAAAAGGTTACATGCATAAAGATCTGCAATCTGACTTGTTGATACTTAGCTTGTCCGTGCTCTGAGGCACTTTGTTTGCCGATGTCAGTCTAAGTGTCATGTCCATAATGCTGGAAATTCCCTTGTAAGACTCTGATCGGTGTTGTGATGCTGTGACGTGTCGTGATTTTTGATCGGAGTTTCAAAGGCAAACAGGCTGATGTGGCGCTGCTCTGCTCTCCAGCATTCCCAGGTTCGGAGGGGCTAGAACAAGCATCCTCCGGTGATGTCACAGGTCCGACCGCGGATTCGGTGACGAAGAAGTCCGTCCCGGAATACTTTGACATCAAGTGGAATTTTTGACCTTCTCAATCACCCTCAGCCCGCCCCCACCCTCAAAACCCAGCCTAGAAACATCCCTGCCTTCATGTCCCACACATGCTGGTTTGTAAACTAACTGACCTCAAGGATCCCCCCCCTCACCTGTTTTCCTTAGTGCCTCCCTCCCAACATGCGCTTTCCAGTCATGGTGGGCTGATGAGGCTCATTCAGGGTTGCCATGGCATTCTAGCATTAATGTCCATTAAATACAATTGTCCGACTGCCAGGCTGGTAATGATTCTTCGCGGGTTGCCACTCTGGACCTACGCTTACCGGCATTGCACTCACTCATGTGTGATCTTTTCCCAAATGTTTGTGTTTACAGCTTCAGTGACCTTGTGGGTTCAAGGCAAAACAGGGCGGGTGGAGATTCAGTCCTGATTCTCCCAGCAGCCTTTGCCGCAGACGTGAGCTGGGCCCCTTGAAATACTGCCTAAACCCAGTTCATATGTCAAACTAGAAAATCACGATGAGCCCCAGTCCTGCTGGTCACCCACTTTCCGGCACGGCCATTTTGTTTTTTCAGTTATTTTAGGTATTTCACCTGCTTCGCCTTCCATTAACTCCTTTAACAGAAGTCTGACACAGGGCCAAAACTGTGTTACCTTGCTTTATGTTTTGGACCTTAATGTTAAGTCATATTGGATCTGTGCTGTGCTGTGCTGTGCTGTGCTTGGTGTACAGTATTATTTACATTGGGAGCTCATCAGGAGGACCAAAAGCCTGATTCTGTCGTAGCCATAGCATGTCTCCTCTGTCAGGCCTCTTATGTACCCTTTTACTGCCCCCCCCCCCACCCCAAAATGCCTGCCAACAATCAGTGATCCATCTGCCCTCAGAAGAGGAAACCAGTGCCATGATTTGCATTGTGACTCCAAAGCAAAAATTCTTAATAAGGCTCATGTTCCAAATTTCTTAAAAAAAAAAAAAAAAAAAAACTTAAAAATTAGTTTTATTTCAGTGATGGAATAAACTTTGCCAGGCCTGGTATTCAAGCAACCAGACAATTTTATATTCACAGTACGCAGTATAACTGGGTCTCAAATTAATTGTATTAATAATATCTCAAAAAAAATCACATTGACATAGTTCTATGGAAAGCTTTATGTTGTAATAAAGTAAGATAGAATAAAGTAACTCCTTCGCATAAATCAATAACCAATGAACTTCTACGGATTCACTTTTAATTTGTGGTACTGTTTGTAATTGTAAGCAACACATAAATGTTTAAAGTTCATGTTTAAATAGATTTCAAACAACATAATAATCAATACTGCATGTTGAATTTAAATAAAAACCAGCTGAATTCTGCGTAAGTTAATGTTCCAGCACTTGTCTGTAGCTTGTTATACAGTGTGACAAATGTTTTTGTAAAGAGCCTTTGCTCAATATGCCTCCATTATGAAATTTCTAATAGTTTTAAAGATATTTTAATATTTTTAGAGATGTGTACCTTAAATCATTGGTTTGTACTGGACAGTTAGTGTATTACTTTACAAGTTAATGTATGGTCATATTAATCCATAGCACTTGCATCTGCGACATGTAAACTCTCTCTGTGCTGTCATAAAAACACATTTTGAACATTACAATGGGGTGAATTATATTTTCAAAATGTATCACCAACTGTTGTGCTGACTGCCCAGAACAGACATTCCTGCAATGCAATGTGTTTTATCGTGAGGCACACTGACTTGCTAAGATCATGAAATTGCATTTTCTGATCTCTTAGGTAGAAGTTAATATATCCTGCCCAAAACAACATGAGATATAGTGTTGTATGGGTTTCTCTGTTATATTTCAGTTTTATTCATTTAACATAACATAAAATTTAAATTAGCATTAATTTAGTTAATTAATTAAATAAATTATATACACACACACACCTCATTTAAAATTGATTTTTTTTTTGTAATAAAAACCAGGGATTGGCATTGTTTTTTATGACCTTAGTGTAATTAAGTGGCCAAAAGCAAACAAACAAATATTTAAAAATGTATAACAGCATTATAAAAACATTTGCATAGATTTTTTATTTCGTATTATAATAGTCATAATTTTCAAATATTACATAATTATTGTTTTGTTAAAATAAAGTACATGAATGCAGGATATATTTGGTCAAGTATGAAAAATAATTGATAAAATAACAAGCCTTTTTATATGTCTCTATAATTAAAGAAGCACAAAAAAATCCTCTTTAAACAGTAGCTGACAGATCGAGCTGGAATGTAGTGGGATCTGGGTACCTTGAAAAAAAAGGAATTATTTTTCTCTGTTTATTTTATAGACATCTTGTATAGGAACAGGAACATACTATAGAAGTAGTATGAGAAACCTATTTACATCTGATGTTCCGGTGCTACAGAGAGATCGACGTGATTCTGAACATCTAATCAAAATTTAAGCTGAACTCGAACAATTCAGTCGTTGCCCTACGAGCCCATTCTGCATGTAGCAAAGCTCGCGCTCTGTGTACAGATTGGAGTCGTCAGGTTTGTTTGACGTTTTGCTCTGTCACGCCATCGCAGTGGTTCCAGGCTGCAGCTTCAGCAGCTGGGATTGTCAGGAACACTGAAAATAAACCAAAATCAAATCAACAGCTGTCTGGGTGTCTCTGACTTTTCTTTGTGTGTTTATCCACGTTTTTGTCTATCCATCCAGCTCTTCTATCGATGCGGGACACAGAGCGACTCTCTGTACATTTTGTACTAATTTTAGTATGATGGGTTCATTGTCACCTCTCTGCATGAGTTCTGTAGCTGTGGTTACTCCCCAAACTGCACCAGCCTGCAAAACGTGTAGAAGAAACTGCTTCCTTCTGGATTTCACGATGGCTTCTGATGATTGGTGCCGCCTGGTGCCATGGACTTAAAATCCACCTACCAGGGGTCACCTCCTTGCCCCTGACAGTTACTACACTGGGAAAAAACAAGCTTCTTTTTAAGTTTTAGTAAGAGTAAAAAACCCTTAAGATCTCTTATGAATTAACATCCAGTGATAGCCCACTATTTAACAATATGACCAATTAAAAGTTGGTAAGTGCGGGGAGAAATTGAATCCGAAGACAAACGAAGCAAATAAAGTTGAAGGAAAGGATCACCAGCATTAGACGTTTCAGTTCCTTGTGTGAATTTCAGTGTTTATGCAAACAGGCCTGGTTCCGGGGTTGGGATTTGCAGTGGGCTATGTAGGACACTACCAGCACTCTCTGCTTTCACAAACATACAAAGGATTATACAGATTCACAGCGGACATCCCCGTCACCAACACATAAACACACATTCACCTAGAGGTCACAGCGGTGCTTTTGGATTAGCTCTGTTTTGTTATTTGAACAATGGCTCGGCCTACAAAACAGTAGCCTCTGTATTTAGGTATGTAACAGGCTCTAGACCAGTCTTGGGCAAGTATTTTCCTTGGAGGGGCAAAGACCTTCGTAATGTGAACTGGGGCCAATATTTAATGATTATATATGTCCCATGAAAGCTGCAATAATATTGATTATACTTTACTAAAAATAGAATAGCAGACCAGGTCTGCTCTAGAAAGATCATGTCTTCCATTCCTAAGCAACCATGCCACTAAACCTTGGATGAGTTTCTTCATCGTAGTTTTGAAATATTTGTGGTGTGCATTTGTTAATCATTTTGGAATCTACCATTACCACAGAAAAAGGGTGAACTTGCAGACAGTACGCCTTTGTCAAGAGAAGAAATTGTAAGGCCGCGTTCTGTAATTTCACAGCCTCTGAAAGGGACCTCAAACTCGCCTGCTGTCCTTGTTACTACCAGCACACCTCATTTCAAACTAATAAACTACTCACCATTTCATTAAGGATTCATCATTTTCAACGGTTTCACTATTGAATTGTCCTGCTTTCAGTTTGATTTTGGAATTACACTGGAATTCCATTGTGGTTTGAAACAAAGTAACTAATGCAGTGATTAGTATTGCTGTTTATATGATGCTATGCAGGTTTAAAACAGCTCGTTGCAAATAAGTACACATAAAACTATCTGGAAAGCTGACACTTAGCCACAATCGTCTGACAAAGGAATCCTGGCTGCGACACCGAACACATTTTAACATGAATATTGCAGGCATTGTAATAGGCAGGCTGTTTCTGGCAATAATCTAAGTACTGTAAGAATTCTTCTGCTCTCACATAGAGCCTGCTATTTTAACACTTTTCTCTTCATTCTTTCACATAAATTCTCTATTTTGTGTGGTATACTAACATGTCATTTAAGATTTTATTGTGTTAGTTCATTTTGCAGTCAGCTCTATGCAAACTCTATGCCAGTTTACCCACTTGGCTTGGTATATAGAGACGCTGGCAGGTGTTGAGATCTCCTGTCGGTACAGGCTTGCCTTGTATATGGTCAAGACTGTTTTTATTTCTCCTTTTTGAGTTTGGAGTGTCAACAATAGGCAACTGATTGAGAAACAGCTTTCGTTTACATTATGGCTATAAGCAGAATGAAAAAAACGCTCTGTGTCCCACAGGTACACCGTTCAAAGTCACACCCTTTTCGCAATGTGTGCAGTAATGCGAGGTCCTCTGTGGTTAGGTTACCCAGCCACACCCTGACTGAATGCACCATGTCGTGGGTGGCTAGCCTAAATACTCAGGACCCCAAACTTCTGCAAAGGACCATCCTAACAGCTTCAAAGACAATTAGCACAGATCTTCCACACTATACTCAGTCTACTGCTCTCACTGCCAAAGGGGGATAGGTTTATCATCAGGGACAGCCAGTCGCCCAGCTCAAGCCCCCTTCACACTCCTGCCCTCTGGAAAGAGCTACCAGTGCACATCACATGTGCCACCATATGACCCATCATGCACAATCATATGCACCATCTGCACCACCACATTCATCACATCTACTAACACGTGCATCACCACGCGTACCAGCACATACCCTACCATATACCACCATACGCACCATCATACACCACCACACACACCACCCATTTCAGTCTTCCTTCCCCAGGCTATCAGGTTGCTAAACAGCTGGTGACCTGCATGTTGCCCCCCCCCCCCCCCCCCATTTTTATGGATAAATCTAGTCTATTTGTATCTGCTTTGCACATATTTGTTACTTCGTTATTGTCACCTGATTCTTATAGTGTCTTCTGTCTTGCACCCGTCCCCTACCCTGCAGCAGTTGCATAAGAATTTCCTCGGAACAAATAAATGACAATAAAATAAAACTTGGAACTTGAAACATTACAGTTAATAATAGACTTCTTGGTGTTTGGAGATTAAGGCCTGGAATCCCTTTAACAAAGAAACTCACAAGGGCATAAGCATTTGATGAAGACAAACCCTGTGTGAGAATTTAAATAATGGGATTCCACAGGCTGATCTTTGTCCCCACCCCCCCCACAGTGGCCCATCGAGACGCATCCATCAGGTGGATTTTTTTTTAACCTCCTCCCAAAGAAAGGTCTCGTTGGATGCAGCCTCACTAGTGGAGAGCAGGGAATGTGAGTGGAGCGGAGCGATGAGAATTTCTGCTCTTCGCTCATGGAGCGATATGCTCCCTGTGCTCACAGTTGCTCCGACCAATTTTCACCCCGCCCCAATGAAACTGCTCACCACTCGTCCCCAAAAAGAAAACAATCTGCACTGTATTTTAATTTTAGCCTGAACTGTAGCCTGGCTAACAGAAGCAGGAAACTCCACATTCAAGCAGAAATTATTTATTATTATTTATTAACATAATAATTATTTATTAACAGGTGACACTTGAATTTTTTTCAAATATGCTGCTCCGCATTCGCTCCCGCTCCAGCTGAAATCCTCCTGCTCCAGCTCCCACTCCTCTCACAAGCTCTGGTGTAGAGGTTGACTGTTTGCTATTTGACTTGCTATAGCATTTATGTAAGGGCGACCGTCAAGTGAACCTGAGAAGTACTTAGATCAGTAATGCCAGTCCGATACTTGAGTACAGTGTTAATCATTTCATACTCCATCATAAGTTTCCACAGTGTTTGATATATATGTTCCTCTTTGTTAGTCATGTGCAGTGTAACTTTTGAGTGTGAGGATTTTGGTTCATTGTCTATTGGCAGTGACTCTGTACTGGATAATAATTAGATGGATGGATGGATGGATGGATGGATATTTTATAAAGATATTGGTGCAGTTTCCTCCCACAGTCCAAAATCACATGGCTGGGTAAATCACTGTTTTGGGTTTTCCCACTGTGTGTGGTTGTGTTCCTTTCCTTGTGCCCTGCTTGCTCCCACTGTGTGTGGTTATGTTCCTTTCCTTGTGCCCTGCTTGCTTCCACTGTGTGTGGTTGTGTTCCTTGCCTTGTGTCCTGCTTGCTCCCACTGTGTGTGGTTGTGTTCCTTGCCTCGTGCCCTGCTTGCTGGATTTGGTCCCAGGAGCATTGTGACCCTGTAATGACATGTTTCTAAAACCTGTTCTTGGGGATCCCCAGACATTCCAAGTTTCTGCTCCCTCCCAACTCCCTACCAGACAGTCCAGACAAAAATGTTTGTGGGTCCACTGGGGGTTCCTGAGGAGTGGTTTGAGAAACACTGCCGTATTGGATAAATGATCACAAAAAATCTATAGACATCCTGAAGGTGGAGAAAGGGAAAAGTGATGTTTCATGACATATGTCGGTAGAGAAGAGCCACTGAAGAGCCATTTACCAGAGCCAGTGAATACTTGTAATCAAGCTAAGCTATCAAGCTTTTTTACCTGTAAGATTGGTGCAGTATATTGCATTGTACATTTATTGCTTATTGTCAGTGTGGCAGCAGAGGTGGAAGCCGGATGCCAGGACAATCACCTCCGCTTTAGCTTTTAGCATCAGTAGGTGCTATCAAGTTGACGTTGACTCCTAGCCACCATATAGACAACATTCCTCCAGAGCTTTCTGTCTTCTATCGAGATCTTCAGGCTCCCCAAAGGTATGTTCATTGTTGTGATGACTGAGTCCATCCATTCGTTGCAGGAGGTCCTCTTCCTCTTTACCTTTTCAAACAGTATGGTCTCTTCTCCAGTGCACTGGATCTCTCCATAATGTTACCCATGTAAGATGGATTCAATCTGGCCTCTTAATCATCCCCTATATCTAAGTCATGAATTCCCTCCTGCCCCTTCACCACCTTAGTTACTGTGTGGTAGCGTACTGGTGCAGAACAGCTGCCGTCGCATCATCCAGGTGGGGGCTACACAGGGCTGGTTGCAGTGGCTCCCCATTGGTTCCGTAAAGTGCTTTGGGTGTCATAAAAAGTGCTATATAAATTTCATGTTCTCTCTTTCATTCTTTTGTGATTCAAGTGAGTGTTCAAGCTTGTTTTGGTTAAAATTCAGGGTTTTTAGCACAGTATATGGCCCTATCCAGTAGCATAGCTCAACAACACTAAAGACTCTTCTCAAAATCCTTTCCTGTCCATAAAAGTCACAAAAATATTATATTCTGAACAATTCTGATCATTGTTCCTAGAGATGCACAAATATTGCAAAATACTGCAACTCTTATTCATGATTCTTCCAGGAAAGTGAAATCTGATGCCAGAAAATCCAAAGCCAGCCAAACGCTTAACTTTAACTGCTTATCTTGTGGCTTGTTCAATAAGACGTTGACTCTTGTGGTTTTTTTCTGAGGTAGTTACATCGATGCATAGGTGTCGTTCTTAAGCAGTCATGCATGTTGACTTATTCATCTCACGGATATGCAGAAATCTTGAAGGTAAAACTCAGCTCCCTGTGTGAACAGCTGGGTGACTCTCGGTCAGGGTGACACCTCCGTCACCTGGCTCTGGAGATTGGCGTGTGGCATCCTCCTGTGTGTCTGCTGTCTGCTGCTTGCTACAGGATTGGTATGTGATAAACTATGTCAACATTCCATTCCTTCATCTAAGGAAATCAAGCGACAAGGAAATGTACAAAGATTAAATCACCCTAACAGACTGAGAGAAGTGAATGATAAGCAGAGGTGGACTTTTGGATTTTGTTTCAACCCAGACCAGTCCAATTATGTTTTAGTTTTTTAGGGTGCTTGTAATTGCTCTACCTCTCCCTCCCTTTATGGCGACCCTGATTTTACAGTCTGATGTGGGGGGGGGGGGTGCACTTAGGTTACAGTAGGCACCCAGGAACATAGTCATGTACCATCTGGCTTGTGGTTAACTCATGAATCCCAAAATTTATGCCTGAGTATTTCAGTATGTGGCTCTGTGGGTTGCTGGTTCGAATCCCAGGGTCAGCAGAGTGATGTCACTGTTGAAACTGTAATTGCTCCAGGGATTGTATGACCCTGCTGTTTCAATTCTGTGGTGCTTTGGATAAAAGTGCCTGTTATACAAATGAAAATCCAATATCGTACTTATTGGCCAAATCCTGGGTGGATGCCTTTAACCTGGTCCACACTAAACTGAGGGGTGCCATCCCAGTCCTTACAGCATTAATTCCCTGGAAAAATACTGCATCGCTTTGACAGTAAAGTAAAAACTTAAACGCAGAGTAATGGAGAAGAGAGATAATGTGGCTTACCTTCCTATCAAAGGGTTATCCATGTACTACAAAATACGCTTTGTGTGAACTGTGAATGCAGTACTTGTAAAGAGGCCCTGAAAATTAAAAACTATATAGTTAATAATCTCTTTTGTTAGTAATGTGCTTTTAAAAACCTATTTATAAATCAGTTACATGTCCTCCCATTCTGTACTGTAGTTTTCCTATTGTAATTTAATCTGGTTTTACCAAGAGCCTAATAAAATCAGTAAGTAGTAACTGAACACCTCTTTAAAGACTGAGGCTGAGAGGGGGAGGAGTCAGGCCACCTGTTAATCTGAATAATGGGCTGGACCTAGGTGGCAGGGGGTGTGGCTTACAGAGGGCCTTGAGTAGCACAAAAAGTTTGGCTCACACATATCTCACTGCTCCCAGTAGAGGCTATCGTTCCTCACCCCGGCTCCTTAGTGCAAAGCGAGGGAGGACGAGGGAGCCATGGCCAGCTACAAGAGCAGCCTGCGGATCACGCTGCCCATCACCTGCGTCATCTTTGAGACGATCCTCATCATCCTGTTCGCCATGCTGGTGGAGTACGACCAGGAGACGGACGCCAACTTGTGGCACCAAAAGCTGCGCAACCACAGTGAGACGAACTACAACAATGACTTCTACTACCGCTACCCCAGTGAGTGACCTGGGGGGGCCACGGCAGCTGGGGGGCGGGGGTGGAAAAATGGTCCTGGTATTTAAATATATACAACCTCAGTGGAGATTATTAACTCCTAAAGACTGGGAATGGGATAGAGACCATGTTGGAGATCAGGTGGTTGGGGAATGAGTATGAATTAGGGAATAGAAGAGACCCGTCTTGTGTAGGCCGTCTCCCAGTCAGGACATCAGAGTCTGCCTGACAGCAGCACAACCTTTCAGCAGCACAACCAATGTAAACATGTCATGCAGTGTTTTATCTCATAGGGGATACATTGGATATCTAATAGTAAAATAAGTATTCTTTACTGTGTGATGAATTCACCCCCAAGGGGAAAATAGCATGAAAAAGATGTTCAGAAAGGAGTCACTTGAGAAATAATTGATATTTTAGACTTAACTGGTTGGAAAAAGAAGAACTGCTGAAATCTTACGACTTGTATCGCAAGACACCACGTCTACTTCTCAGGAACTGCAAGAAGAGCTATCTATCCTAAATTGTCTCTGAAGGTGGTTCAGCTATCCAATGGAAAAAGTTTCATATAAATAAATAAATAAACACACACTCACATATATATAGTTCAGAGAATTACAGTGAGCTGTGGCTGGTGACAAGCCTATTGATTTATACTTAACTTTTCTATTGTTGCATCATTATTTTTAGTATTGTGTGTCTCAGCTTATGTATGTGTGCACATGACTGTATTAGATATAGATATAGATATAGCTATAGATATAGATATAGATGTAGATATAGATATAGTGGTGCCTCAGGTGAGTAATAGAGGGCAGCTGGCTATCCAGGTCCCCGGCTCCCTGGTCTCATCTCGTCTCCGGGCAGGAGCACAGAGAGGGCCTGTTCAGCCCGCCTTTGAGACGTGAGGGAACCTATTTGGTCGATGGGCCAGATGCCGAGTCTGAGACACAGGGGAGCTGGACCTGAATGGCATCAGGTGACCATGTGACCCAAAGTAGGCCAAGTAGCATTCATGAGCCTCTCAGAGAAGCCCTACAGTCAGCAGCACCGGAATGCTGCCCCGCCCCTTTAAAAATCCTCTAAAGGGCAGGATTCTGGCCAGAAAACGACTCTGTAATTCAGTTATAGATGATATTGTTCTGCCCATTAGTCAGGCAGCCCTGGTTCCTTCCATTCCAATGCCTTCAGTTACGCATATTAGCCCCCACTATGTAAATTTGACGACATAGGCGAGGCTGTGTTTGGTAAACTGTCTGACTGTGTTCTGTCAGCATATTGCTGTTGACACACATAACAGGCATATAGGGAGATAAATAACCCTTCATATTTCACAACCACTCCTCCTTTATGTCCAGTTGAAGTATCTGTATTCCTTGAATCACTGAGAAGTACTGTTGCTGAGTATTGCTGAGTATTTCTGAGTATTGCTGCATGCTGCTTCTTGAACATTTCCCCTATGCTTAGGTTTCATCCAAACTCTATCCAAGTTGCTCAGTCATTTTCACTGAAAAATAAAACCTAACTGGGTTTAATATGCTGGTACAGAGTAGAGATATACAGACATCACCATAGGTGATTTTACCGAGGGTGCAGGGGGGGGGGGGGCATTGCATTTGAACATATTGAGTTAAATAAAATAAAATTATGTTGTGAAGTTATATTCAGAAATGTGGCTTGTGTTGGTTATATTGATGTGAAATAGTAATGTATGGTAAATGCATTTACTATTTTTTATTTTTGCAAATTTATTTATCTCCCTCTGGGAAAAAAGCCTAGAGTCACCTATGGACATGACAACTGTTGATGCATATCTGCATTGACACACAGCACAAGGCATAGAACATTAGCAATGTTAGCACCTCTAGCAGTGTTAACATTGCTAGTGGTGCTAGCATTCCTAGCAGTGTTAACATTGCTAGTGGTGTTAGCATTGCTAGCAGTGTTAACATTGCTAGTGGTGATAGCATTGCTAGCAGTGTTAACATTGCTAGTGGTTTTAGCATTGCTAGCAGTGTTAATATTGCTAGTAGTGTGAGCATCGCTAGCAGTGCTAGGTAATGTAATTAAGCGCCTTGTACACGTGTGTGTGTGTGTGTGTGTGTGTGTGTGTGGCCCTCAGGTTTCCAGGACGTGCACGTGATGATCTTCATCGGCTTCGGTTTCCTCATGACCTTCTTGCAGCGTTACGGCTTCAGCAGCGTGGCCTTCAACTTCCTGATCGCCGCCTTCTCCCTGCAGTGGGCTACCCTCATGCAGGGCTTCCTCCACGGCATGCAGCACGGCAAGATTCACGTTGGGGTGGAGAGGTACGGCGCATGTGCGCAGACATATGCAGACGCGCGCAGACACCCTGTGCCAGCGGCGTGCATGGAGGCTGCTTTTATATTGCAACTAAGCATTTGGCCTCACACAAGCAGGGTTGCCAGCTCTTAGGCATCTGGCTTGACACTCACACTTTCACACTCTCACGCTCACGCAAGAAGTTACAGCAAATCTATATTGTTCCATTATACACCTAAAATGAGCTACATCAAAAGCGCTGGGGTAGTTTGCAAACACTACAGACTATTTTACAGACTATTTAGAAGGTAATAAAACTGTTACATGCATGTAAATGCGTGTGCATATGTGTGCAGTCTCAAATTGAAGATCTCGCTCCAGCCAGCTGACCTAAGTTGGCAACCCTGCACAAGATGGGGGTGTGAGGAGGGTGAGGAACACAGATACACAGAATTCAGGGGCTATACCCTGTGGAACTAGACAACCAGTCAGATCGCACACAGGTCAGAGGTCACATGCAAATACCAATATTCAGAGCACAGGGAAGCAGACAAATACACCTGTGTGAAGAGAAGACTGTCTGCTGAATTTAGAGTTTGGCTGGTACCAGGTTAACTTCATAATTTGTACGAAAATCAAGTATTCTAGCACAACATTATGACTAAGAATAGAAAGACAACTGGAAAATAAGGATCAGCTTTACATCCTAAGTATCTCATGCACACTCAAAATCTTGCCAATATCAATTTAAAAAACAATAGGGATGAGGCAGCTACACTGCTTGGACCTGTAAATATACACTGTAAAATAAAGATATTTAAAAACCTCCATGTATTTGAAATACTGGAAAATATTAAGATTCAGTCCTGGGACCAGCCGAAGTGAAGGATTCTGGGTCGTCTCATTTGAGCTGAGTGACTCTACAGTGCCAGTCTGATCGAGCGACTTACCTTCACCCCTGCAGCATGATCAACGCAGATTTTTGCACGGGCTCGGTCCTGATCTCCTTCGGGGCCGTGCTGGGCAAGACCAGCCCGGTGCAGCTGCTGGTGATGGCCATGTTTGAGGTGACGCTGTTCGCCGTCAACGAGTTCCTGCTCCTCTCCATCCTGGGGGTGAGTGTGCGCTCGATTGCCTCATCGCTGCACCGTCGCACGCTGCGTCAGCGGTATCACACTGCCATCACCGGTACAGTGTTTCTCTAACGAGACACTCATTAACACTCAATCACCTTGACATCACACTCATTTTGTTTCAGTCATGATGCATTATACCCACCATTACCCTATTGCACATCACGCTCATTATAATTGCTGTTTATTTCCTGCTTATATGTTTCATGGTTGCTTTGTCTATTACCAGTATACTTTCCCTACTCTTTTCTGTAGTAGATGCTGGTACATCAAGCGCAAATGTTCTGCTCTTTCTCCTACTATAACTGCCTCTGGTCTTCCTTGCTGTTATAAGTCCTACTCTGTCTTGCTCTGATGTGTCTATAGTTTCGTTCTGCTGTACAGTACAGACTCTTTATTATGGTACTCTCATGAATGTGACTAGAATGTTCTGGAACTGTTCGTCCATGCATCATCCACCTTTAAATGGAAATGTCTTTGACCTCCTTAACAGGCCAAGGACGCGGGAGGCTCCATGACCATTCACACCTTTGGGGCTTATTTCGGCCTGGTGGTAGCACGGGTGCTTTACCGCCCCCAGCTGGAGAAAAGCAAGCACAAAAACTCCTCAGTTTACCACTCAGACCTCTTCGCTATGATTGGTAAGAGGCTTTATTAGCCGTGACTTTCAGACTTATCCTGCTTGATGGCTGCAGTCGGAAGCTTTATTTCTGTCCAGATCAGGGACAATTCTAGGATTTGGCCCTTAGGAAGGTTCAGCCCCTTGAAGGAATACGGGACACCACGCCCCCCGCCCCCCCGCCCCATCCCAGTTTAACAGTTCTGTCAAATCAAACTTCAGTGTAATTAATTAAAATCTGTTAAAATTATATCCACAAATCCATCCATAAAGTGATCCCAGCCTTCAAACGAATCATAGACAGAAATCAAATGAGCTGTTTGAAGGTCTTTCTCTCTTTTATCTTGGACGCCACATTTCCATCCTTTGTCCAAATACAAATTTCTGGTGTCGCTCCATCTGTATGAGTTTATCTTGAAGGTTGTTTTATTATCCTCCATTTTTTCATCCTTTATGAAATTAGACATTTTCTCTTCACACCATGAGGTCTTTTTGTGTCTCAGGCACCATCTTCTTGTGGATGTTCTGGCCCAGCTTCAACTCCGCCGTCACGGCGCACGGTGACGACCAGCACCGCACCGTCATGAACACCTACTACTCCCTGGCTGCCTGCACGTTGTCCACATTCGCAATGTCCTCATTGGTGAACCGTGGTGGCAAGCTTGACATGGTGAGGAATTAGGGCAGGGTGGGGGGGGGGGGGGGGGTCGGGACGCTGGACATTGACGTATAAAACAAGTCGACAACAACATTTAAACAACCTTTTTTTTCCACGAGAGAGAGTGGAAATTTCCAGATCAGAAGGCTTCTTTGAGCACAACCTGACTAACCACTTAGCCAACTTAAACCTGCCATTTGAAGTCCCCTTGAACAAAACTGGTGACATTTCATAGTGGGACGCAAGGATATCACAACAAGTAGCAAGTAAAAGAATGGCTTTGATGGTCGACCAGACGTGACCGGTGGGAACTGAAAGGAGAGGAAAATACGATCAGATCTGTCACCATTTATGCACTGTTGGATTTTATTGCTAGAACTGAGTTACAGTTTAAACAAAAAGGAGGGTTGTTCTGCAAGTATAAATGAGACACGTGTAGACGAGAAACTAAAATAATAGACCATGACTGCTTTTGTAGTCTTTTTCTACTCTTTCCTACTTTAGTCTCTTTCTGCTTGGAGGGGCATGGAGACCCTGGCAGATTCAGGGTGTCACCGCGTTATAGGGACCTCGATCCCACCCGCAAAAAGTACCGAGGGGATCCCAGATGACATTTTGTCAGGATTTCTAGCAACACCCCTTCTTCAGCTTCAGTTTCTCTTGACTTCACTGCCACATTCAAAATTCTCATTTCCTTTACTATTTTGGCACTTTTTTACATTGTCTTACAGTTGTTCTTACTTAAACGGGGGTATATTTTACCACAGTGGTTCAATAACTTTATAGAAAGTGAACTGCAGTCTGTCAAGCCAGGGCTTGGCATTTGCTACCTGCTACCCTTCCATCCAGATACGTAGAAGAAGCTGTTTTGGGATCAGTAAATGGTCTGCTCCAGCCTTTAAGCCTGCTAAGAGCTTGTCCTGCCAACACTAAGTCTAGGAGTCCCTTCAGTGATGAGTGGTACACTGTCTGGGTGTGAGCGCCCCCTTTTGACCATCTCCTGCAGGTGCACATCCAGAATGCAGCCATCGCCGGTGGAGTTGCAGTGGGGACCGCAGGAGAGATGATGCTCACTCCCTTCGGCTCCATGGTCGTGGGATTCCTAGCTGGCATCATCTCCACCCTGGGCTACAAGTTCCTGTCGGTATGGATGCCATGCAGCAGTGTTTGCTAACCCGGTCCCCGGGGGCCTTCAATCAATCCACGTTTCTGCAAAAACACTGAAAACGAACAACAAGCATGCATTTAATCAAAAACACAAAAGTATTCACAATTCGTCACGCAATAAGAAAAACACATAGCATACTTTTGTAGGATTCTAAATACACATAAACAAAAGCACATCGTTCATTGGTGGGAAAAGAATGGAGACTTCAGGGACAGGAATGATGACAGGTTCAGCAGTGGGGAACAATGACGACCAAAGATGCGTGAGCATTGGAAAAAAAACACAAAGACAAAGCAAGTTTTGGGTTGTTCACATGGATACAACTTGGTGCATTTTCTAGTGGGGCAGCAGAAAAAAATCATTTCTGATTCGCAGGGTGAAGCAAATGCATTGTCACCTAACGTGCCCTGTATACCAGCCTTACTCATATGTTAATGAATAGGTTAGTAATTCTCAGACATGACAGGATTATAGATTCTGCCGATCCGATTCAGTCTCTCTGAGATTCTGGCAGCATTTTCATCCTTTGTCCAAATACGAACTTCCTGATGTTGCCTCCTCTGTACGATGCAGCCTGTCCTGGAGAAGAAGCTGCGCATCCAGGACACCTGTGGGGTCCACAACCTGCACGGCATGCCAGGCATCCTGGGGGCTGTGGTGGGGGCCGTCACCGCCTGCCTGGCCACTAGCGACGTATATGGGGAGGGGTGAGTATGGCCACCTGACCACCCTGTTAAGAACGTCTGACTTACGGACAACTCCTACTTACCAACGGTCTGCCTATTATATCAAAAATTCTTGTTAAATACGATGGTTCGTAATGATGATCGTGTTGCTAGAAAAACATCGTGTGGCTTCAGCAGTTTGTACAGTACAGTACTGTTTGTAGTTACTTTTATTATTATTATATTATTATTATTATTTCTATTATGTTTTACTATTATGTTATCATTATGGGGCAGTGTGTGGCTCAGTGGGCTAAACCTGTGTGCCTGTAATCAGAAGGTCACCAGTTCAAACCCAGCCTCAGCACATCTGCAGGTCCTTCAGCAAGGCCCTTAACCCCCAGCTCCCTGGGCGCTACTACAGGTGGCTGCCCTTCACAGACAGCTTACTCTACAAAGAGCAAGATGAGGGAGGCATAAAACAACAGTTTATCCACAGGGATCAATAAAGTATCTATTATTATTGTTCAATCTTATTCGACTTAAGGACTGACTTAAGGCACAGCTCTCCTTCGTAACATGGGGACTATCTTCTCCACAGACGCACATTTGCACCAAGTCAGTCCATCAGTCCAGACCTGAGGAGGATCTAACTCATGGTCAAAATTTCTTTTGTACAATGTGACAGATTGTGGGGGGGGGCGGGGAGTCCCGCCACATGGCAGAAACAGCAGAATGACACAGTTTAACCAAATATAGAGACTTTATTGAGGATAAATGGCACAAAATGAGATCGAGGTCCCATTAAAGCAATGAACTGAACACCAGCGTCAATGACCTCCATTCAGAAATATGATTAACTCAAACTCCGCCAAGCTACCAAAGTGATGGACCCTTCCTCTGCCTTTCCTCCTTTCCTACATCTCACCCTAAAAAACCTTAACTAGGTAATTAGTCCACTTAGGGCCAGCTGGATGTCATTAATTGGTTTCTCTATAGGCAGATGGTGACCCGTTGGCATGGTAACGCAAACATCAGCCAAAGCCGTCCCCTTGCCATTCCTGAGCTTCCTGCTGGCTCACAATAATAAATTAGTAAGGGCGGTACAGCCTGTCACAGGCGGCAGAGGACAGAGGCTGGGGTGCCCCCTGCACGGGATATCGCTCCATCACACAATCAGACACTATAGGCAATTCATAGACACCAGTTAGCATAACTGCATAGAAGAAACCAGGGAATCCAGAAAAAAGCCACATGAATCAGGGAAATTGGGGAAAAGGGATTCAAACCCCCAGCCTTGGAGGTGTGAGGCAACAGTATTACCCACTGATATACTGGGTCACCCCTTCAGACCAATAGCTAAAAAAAACTTCTAATATAACAATACTACAGCCTCTTAACAGTTTATTAGCAAAATTCCACAAATTTCTTGGTTATAGAGGCCGAAATCTCTCACCTACCCATAAAGATAGATGTGTTCTAATCAGATTATCACAAAACAATAGCAGAAATCGAGAGACAATCAGTTATGTTTGCAAAAACATATAGAATCCTGATATCAAATGCCAGTACGCTGACCTGCACATCACAAGCGAGGTGTTTGCGGGACGCCCCTTTTGGGTTGTGCCCCTATCAGGGAGAGAGAGGACTGGAACCATACTACACTTCTCTGTTTCAGGATGGAAGATGTCTTCCCAGAAATCTACAATGGGAAGTTCTTGGCCTCCACCCAGGCCACGCGACAAGCCATCGGTCTGGCAGTGACGCTGGGCATGGCCCTCTTTGGGGGCATCATCGTGGGTGAGTCATCCGGGGCAGGTGGGATTGTCACATCACTATGGCAAATCTATCTATCCACCCACGCACCTATGAATTCATCCATCCACCCATCCAACCACCCACCTATCAATCCATCCACCCTCCCACCCACCTATCAATCCATTCATCCATCCATCCATCTGTCAGCTACACATCCTCTGGATCATGCAGGAGAAGCAGCTACCCCAGGCATCATGGGCATCAGGCAGGGCAGCACCATTAATGGGATGCAGGGCACCAACACAAACACGCAGTCACATGGACAATCATACACTACCAATCAGCCTCACTATGTGTCTTTGGACCGTGGGAGCGAAGCCCAGGACCCAGTGGAAAGCTGGGGAACACAAGGAGAACAGAAACTCCACACACATGCAGAGCGTGTCAAGGCCAGGGTCAAAGTTTATTTCTGTAGCGCATTTAAAACAACCAAAGTGCTGAACAAGCAGAAATTAGCAATAAACATATATAACAGTCAGGAATTTTATGAAATGGACTAATGAAACATATCAAAACATTTAAAAAATATAGAATATAAATAAACAAACAAAATAAAATAAAATAATCTCCATTAGGAAATTATGCTCCACTTCAGTCAATATGCCACTTCCTGTGTGTGATTAATAACCATGTGATGCACCGAGATCCAATAGGCATCAACATAGCACACCATAATCTGATTGGACAAGATCTGGGGCGAATGTGCACATAACTAAACTTCCTCTCCTACACCATCAATCATTGAAGGACCTGGGAATTGTACCCTTATTTTCCAATCAATAAGGTGACACTGATAGATGTGTGTACGCAGACTTAAAATCACAGAACACCACCAGTCATATAACCTTCTCCACAAGCTGTTTCCTGCCTTAAGCTATTCGCGGCATGTGAGGTCATGGTGAGGTCATGATGAGGTCATGATCACCTGAATATGCAGAAATGGGCATCTCAGATATTTGCAGCATCTAACAGCAATGGTCTGGCCAATATGTAGAGTTAAGAAACCACAAATGGTCACAAGTAAATGTTCTGCATTATGGCTGCTGCCCCGTGTGGCTGCGTTTGCATTAATATCTAATATTTTGAAGTTAAAAGCCTTTTTTTGCCCTTTCATAGGTTTCATTATGAAGTTGCCCATCTATAGTTCTCCTCCTGACACCATCTGCTTTGAAGATTCAATATACTGGGAGGTATGATATTACGATAACAACCATCTGCTTTTCTTAATATGACCATTTGTGATTAGTTTTTAATTCAGACTTCATATTCTGAGATATTACAGGTAATTATCCATCCATCAGTCCATCAATATATCCATCTATTTTACAACATCTTATCCAGTACAGGATTAGGGGGGGGGGGCGACTCCTGT